TGTGTGCAGGGTACCTTTGCTCGGACTTGGAGAGACCCCTACTGGCACAGGCAATGACTCTTAACTTGCTCTCCTGTTCTTGATATAGGGCTGCACCGAGAACATGGGCGCTTGCATCGGTGTGCACAATATAATGTTCTTTGGATCTGCAAACCCAAGAACAGGAGCTGTTGTGAGCTTGAGAATCAATGTCTTAAAAGTATCTTCAGCGGTTGGGGTCCATTTTTCGTGAAAAAGGCTTTTTGAGATCCGCACTGGTAGAAACCTTGTGGTTTCTGCCAGACAGACTGGATTTTCTCTTCAGTGGGAGGCAACCAGCACTTAAGTGATTAAGGGGTATTGCAAGCTTGGAATAGTCTTTTATAAACCTCCTGTAATATCCAGTGAACCCAAGGAAAGACTTAAGCTACTTGATGTTATCTGGTCTTGGCCAGGTAGTGAGGGCAGCTGGATCTGTTTTGAGCCCTTCTGATGATACAACATGGCTGAGATATTGGACAGATGTCCTGAAGAACTGACATTTCTCTGGCGACAGCTTTAAAGTAAATTCTTTCATCCTATGGAGGACCTTCAGCGATCATTCCTCATGGTTCTCAAGTGTAGCTGAGAAAGGAGTGACATCATCAAGAAAAACCGAGACCTGACTCAAATTCCTGCTGCCTATACACTTTTCCATAACATAAGAGGAAAGTAGAACACCTCCTTATGCTGTTTTTAATAGAGAACTCTTCGGCATTTATTTTAACACAACACCTAACAGTCTTACCTTCTCTTATCAGTAACTCGAATGATTTGCAGAATCTTGACAGTACTTTTGGGACGAAAGCTCAATATAACCCTGCCTCACCCAGTTTCTATACTGGTCCATTTATGTCTGTTGTCACAGTTGCGCAGTTTCATGTTTTAGTAGACTTTCAGTTTTGATGTTTTTCATCTGCATGTGGTGCACAGCTGCTGGGGTGTCCTTTGCTAAATCTTTAGTGCCTCCAAACTTCAGATTCAACAGATTACTTCCTTTTATTTTGACATTGAGGAAAAGTTGCCTACACAGAATTTCTTATTTTGAAATAGCTCAACAGGCACTGCTGGGATTTGAACCCAGGATCTCCTGTTTACAAGACAGGTGCTTTGACCGGCTAAGCTACAGTGCCTCCTTCAGGGAAGGGAAAAACCAAGTAACCTCTGCAGACACAGTTTTGAATCGGTTTGTCACATTTTTCCCCACCAGCTGTTGGACAGTAGCCAGAGGCACACAGCTCAAGGCGCTGTGGCTTAGCTGGCCAAAGCGCCTGTCTCGTAAACAGGAGATCCTGGGTTCAAATCCCAGCAGTGCCTTACCTCCCTACCAATGCCATTACATTTCATTAATGAGTGCTGATGGCGGGAAGCATTGGGCGTTATGCTTTGTCTCCTTCGTTTCCAAGAAGAGGACACAATGAAGATTTAGACATGCCCAAGACATCAATATTGGGTGAACAACCCTCAGAAGCTCCACTAGCGGTTTAATGCCTGGGACCCTCCAGCATTTGTTCTAGAACTGAAGAAGCTTCTCGGATCGGGTGCAAAGAAGTTTTTAAAGCTCTCAAGAGTACCGTGAGGTGGATAACTGAGGACATACAAAGACTTTGAAAGTTTTCCCAACTCCAAGATTAAGAATGCAATTAACACTGTGAAGAAGATGGTTTCAAATGGTAACAGGAAGGCACTGCTGGGATTTGAAGCCAGGATCTCCTGTTTACTAGACAGGCGCTTTGACCAGCTGAGCCACAGCGCCTCCTGCTGACAGGCAAACCGGTAATACCTGGTATTACCTGGTACTGCAGAAGGAGACGAGTTCAACTTTTTTTTACTTTTGTGCACTATAAATGTAAGATATGGTCAAATAGTCCAACAAGTAACTTCCTGTTCCTCACTTCGTCAATGACCTCGGTGGAAACATCATAAGGTGAAGGAGAAGCTTTTGACACTGATTCAACAGGGTGAGTCTGAACACTGTGAAGAAGATGGTTTCAAATAGTAACAGGAAGGCACTGCTGGGATTTGAACCCAGGATCTCCTGTTTACTAGACAGGCACTTTGACCAGCTAAGCCACAGCGCCTCCTGCTGGCAGGCAATCCGGTAATACCTGGTATTACCTGGTACTGCAGAAGGAGCCGAGTTCACTTTTTTAACTTTTGTGCACTATCAATGTAGGATATGGTCAAATAGTCCAACAAGTAACTTCCTGTTCGTCACTTCTTCAATGACCTCGGTGGAAACATCATAAGGTGAAGGAGAAGCTTTTGAGACTGATTCAACAGGGTGAGTCTGAACAAGTCCTCAAAACAACTCTATTTCCCTTGGCAAGGGTGGATTCCCGCACTTTACTGTCAAAGCTTTGTTTGTTTCGTAAAGCACTCTTTTGAATGTGCTCAATGGCTAACTGGTAGCTTTCTGCAAGACTCTCTCAGCTCTCCAGATCTAATTTCTGTTCACGTAGCCAATCGGAAAGAGACATCTGCAGCAGGGGGCATGGCCCAGCTACATCAGTTTGACAGAAATCTGCTGGTATTGCAGAGGCTCCAATAGCCAAACATTGTACTCGTGCAGACGATGGTACTGCTGCCTCCTCCTCCTCAAGAGTTGAGGAATACTCATGTCTCTTGCATACTGCCTTTACTGCCTCGGTTGGAAAATCTGGCTCTTTGTTGCGGCGCAAGAGCTGTGCAGTAAAGCCTTCAATGGCATTTTCCTCATCATTAGAACTCTGATCAGATATATCACAGGCATGCAGATACGGACGTCTCAACAGCCCATCTGCATCTTGGTTGTCCTTCCCAGCACTATACTCAATGTCAAAATCAAAACTGGAAAGTACGGCCAACCAGCAATGCCCTACTGCGTCCAACTTTGCAGATGTTAAAACGTATGTGAGTGGATTATTGTCTGTCATCACTGTACATTTTACTCCATAGATACAGCGGAAAACGTTCTGGGTGACAGCCCACTTCACAGACAGGAAGTCAAGCTTGTGTGCAGGGTACCTTTGCTCGGACTTGGAGAGACCCCTACTGGCACAGGCAATGACTCTTAACTTGCTCTCCTGTTCTTGATATAGGGCTGCACCGAGAACATGGGCGCTTGCATCGGTGTGCACAATATAATGTTCTTTGGATCTGCAAACCCAAGAACAGGAGCTGTTGTGAGCTTGAGAATCAATGTCTTAAAAGTATCTTCAGCGGTTGGGGTTCATTTTTCGTGAAAAAGGCTTTTTGAGATCCGCACTGGTAGAAACCTTGTGGTTTCTGCCAGACAGACTGGATTTTCTCTTCAGTGGGAGGCAACCAGCACTTAAGTGATTAAGGGGTATTGCAAGCTTGGAATAGTCTTTTATAAACCTCCTGTAATATCCAGTGAATCCAAGGAAAGACTTAAGCTACTTGATGTTATCTGGTCTTGGCCAGGTAGTGAGGGCAGCTGGATCTGTTTTGAGCCCTTCTGATGATACAACATGGCTGAGATATTGGACAGATGTCCTGAAGAACTGACATTTCTCTGGCGACAGCTTTAAAGTAAATTCTTTCATCCTATGGAGGACCTTCAGCGATCATTCCTCATGGTTCTCAAGTGTAGCTGAGAAAGGAGTGACATCATCAAGAAAAACCGAGACCTGACTCAAATTCCTGCTGCCTATACACTTTTCCATAACATAAGAGGAAAGTAGAACACCTCCTTATGCTGTTTTTAATAGAGAACTCTTCGGCATTTATTTTAACACAACACCTAACAGTCTTAGCTTCTCTTATCAGTAACTCGAATGATTTGCAGAATCTTGACAGTACTTTTGGGACGAAAGCTCAATATAACCCTGCCTCACCCAGTTTCTATACTGGTCCATTTATGTCTGTTGTCACAGTTGCGCAGTTTCATGTTTTAGTAGACTTTCAGTTTTGATGTTTTTCATCTGCATGTGGTGCACAGCTGCTGGGGTGTCCTTTGCTAAATCTTTAGTGCCTCCAAACTTCAGATTCAACAGATTACTTCCTTTTATTTTGACATTGAGGAAAAGTTGCCTACACAGAATTTCTTATTTTGAAATAGCTCAACAGGCACTGCTGGGATTTGAACCCAGGATCTCCTGTTTACAAGACAGGTGCTTTGACCGGCTAAGCTACAGTGCCTCCTTCAGGGAAGGGAAAAACCAAGTAACCTCTGCAGACACAGTTTTGAATCGGTTTGTCACATTTTTCCCCACCAGCTGTTGGACAGTAGCCAGAGGTACACAGCTCAAGGCGCTGTGGCTTAGCTGGCCAAAGCGCCTGTCTCGTAAACAGGAGATCCTGGGTTCAAATCCCAGCAGTGCCTTACCTCCCTACCAATGCCATTACATTTCATTAATGAGTGCTGATGGCGGGAAGCATTGGGCGTTATGCTTTCTCTCCTTCGTTTCCAAGAAGAGGACACAATGAAGATTTAGACATGCCCAAGACATCAATATTGGGTGAACAACCCTCAGAAGCTCCACTAGCGGTTTAATGCCTGGGACCCTCCAGCATTTGTTCTAGAACTGAAGAAGCTTCTCGGATCGGGTGCAAAGAAGTTTTTAAAGCTCTCAAGAGTACCGTGAGGTGGATAACTGAGTACATACAAAGACTTTGAAAGATTTCCCAACTCCAAGATTAAGAATGCAATTAACACTGTGAAGAAGATGGTTTCAAATGGTAACAGGAAGGCACTGCTGGGATTTGAACCCAGGATCTCCTGTTTACTAGACAGGCACTTTGACCAGCTGAGCCACAGCGCCTCCTGCTGACAGGCAAACCGATAATACCTGGTATTACCTGGTACTGCAGAAGGAGACGAGTTAAATTTTGGGGCACTATGAATGTTGGCATTCAGAAAATATTGCTTGAAAATTAATGCGGATTCTTAGCTTACCTTCTGGTTTCTCACCAAACCCTTTAAATACTGTCAGAACCATGTAACTTGATTCTTATTTGTGTAATTATTAAAATAAGTAACTGTGACCCTCGTGTTTTACCTTCTTACAGGCTGTTTCATCTTTCTGATAAACTCTTAATTTAAAGCCAAACAGAGATGACAAAGCTTTTTATTCTCTCACTTTACATTTGCAGGATAATAAATAACATCCAGGGTCAAATTTCAGTGAATAAATCTTAATTTCGGGGACTTTGCTAAACATGACAGTTTGTTCAGGTTGCAGATTCTCATCGCTGCACACAAACACGTTTTTAAAATGTTCCTTTTTACACTTAGAGCCTAGCATGAAGCTTCTCAAGATCCTCGGCGGCAGACGGCCGTATCCTGCTCTCAGCCCGACCAGGACCGCTCTCGCGTCGCTTTTAAACCAGGTGTCCGTTTTACTCGAAGCACTCCAGGATTGGCTCGTGTCCCGTTTCCTTGAGGAAGCGCAGCAGGTCGTCCGGTCTGAGCCCCATGGTGGCAGCGTTGGTCATCGGGTGGAAGTAGACCATCTCGTGGCCTCCTTCCACCAGGTCCCGGTCCAAGACGAACTTCACGCTGCGATCCTGATCGAAGAGCAGAGCAAGAGCCGTCGCACATCCCTGACCCACCTGAAGGAGAGGAGAGGAGGAGTCTAAAGCTGTGACCTGTGAATCCAGCTCAATAATTGGCCCTCCCAGTTTTGATCCTTCCTACCTTCAGCTTTTCCAACATGGCTGCCTCATCTGCGAAGCGCAGATTTCCACTCCCGACACCAAGCTTCTTGGCGAGGTCATTAAGGTTCACCTGCAGATGGAACGAGAGGAAGTGAGGTGTTAGTCTTTAGTTTTTAAGTCAGAGGTCATGTGGAGGAGCTGACCTGGCGGTCATGGCGGGCCGACACCAGCCAAAGCCCCTTCTTCTTCTTGTCTTTCAAGAACAGGTTCTTGGTGACGGCGCCATTCACGCCCTGCAGGTGAGGCATCATCTCCTCCACCGTGAACACCTGCAGGAGGAGGAGAGTGGGTGAGAGCGGGCTCTTTGTGGAAGCTTTGTGGAAGCTGTATTACTAACATCAAAGCCTCTTGCAACTCTTCCTGGTTTCCTACATTAATAAAGCTGTCTGACTGTAATGCCATCCATGCCTGCAGGACTAAACCAAACTCTGTGGTCTGGCGCCCTCTGCAGGTCACAGCAGGTCCTGCAGCACAAACGTGTCAGAGCAGTTTATGAAAGCTGCAGCAGACAGGAAGTACATAAATATATGCACATAAGTCAGGCATTCAAAGTCATATCTGCTTTTTCACGGCGCGCTCGATTCTGAGCGGAGCTCTAAAGCGCCCGTCCCAACGGATCCCGTTCAAAAACACTGCGCATTTCAGGATAAACAGATTCTGCGCAAACACAGCTGACTGCGCCTAAACTTCATCACGTAATTTTAACGTGAATTCGTGTGCTCGTGAATTCAGCACACACACGGCAAGCAAAGCGGCTCTTCTTTACTTCAGCTGACAACTTTGTTACTCCCCCACGTGTCAGTGAAACTGAAAGAGCGAGAAACTGAGGAGGAAACGCGCACTTCCACAACCGTGAGCGCGCATCAGGAGCCTATCATGGTCACGCGTGGCGCCGAATAAAAGTGCGAGTCTCTCCGATTGTGGAAATGTCTCCGAGCATATTTTCACGTATTTATATGATCTAGAGTCAGACGGGGATGTTGAAAATGCCAGAAGCGCTAATGGGATTCGGTGTAGTCGGGCTGTCCGGTTTACCGGCGGGTGCTCCACGCATCTCGTCTGGATGTGTAAAGTCTGCAGATGTTTCTCCAGCTGTGCGCGCAGGTCCTCCGACATCTTCACGTGAGACAGCAGCTCAAACGGACACAGGTGGACCCGGCAGGTAGCCGCTGAGGAGCAGCTCTTCTTCTTCTGCAGCTAATTTCCTGCAGCTGGCCGCTCGCTTCCTGTCACAGTGCCACCGTGTGACTGAGGAACAGAGCCAGCTACTCAAACTGAGCACGGGGTGCCCGCTCATAGTGCAGGTTGTAATGGGGAAGGATCTGCGTGCAGCTCGGACTCTTTTAGAAAATGAAAATTATAAAACTGTTCGATTTGGGTCAAAGTAGCACCGACGGGTCAGAGAGACAATCACAGCGCCTCCGAGCGTCAACACAATTCCATTTAACCCGAAAATCTGAGTGCTGAGATTAAAATCCTACATGCACACATACGCACACAGACTCACACACAGATGCACACAGTTTCAGAGGTGATGAAGTACAAATACTTTGTTACATGAGTACTTAAGCGGACTTTTCAGTAGCCGTACTTTGTTTTTTACTCCTCACATTTTAAGTTCCGCGTCTCGACTTTATCATCCTTTCAGTTTAAGTCAGACTCGTTACTTCAGCTTTTTGCATAAGAAACATCCACATCAGGGATGGATGTGAACGATACAGAGGTATCAGAGGCCAAGGACGTAAGCTCGGCGAGCTCAATCGGTGGAGCATGAGATTCTTAATCTCAAGGGCGTGGGTTTGAGCCCCACGTTGGGCGTTGACCTTTATTTACGAAATTTCCCACATGTGGGATTATGAGGAGTTTAAAATAAAAAACATGCAGGGAGCAGGAGCACATGACGTTGCAGAGGGCAGGACAATGAACACGAGACCCTGATGGTCAGAGGTGACCACACATCTGAACTTCCAGCAGCTCTGAGGGGTCCAGCTTTAGTGTTCCTGACTTTGAACCCTGAACGCTTCACCTGTGTCTCCTCCGTTAGCTTCTCCGTCAGCTCCTCCTGCTGTTTCCTGCGTCAGCAGCTGCTGGAGCAGAAGTCCTGATCTCCACATCACTTCCACCAGATGTTTCTTTACACACCGATGAAATATGTGACACACACACTCACGCTGCTCATCCACCCATCAGTGCAAAGTGTGTTTATGTTCACAGGAGTCGCACGACAGGAGGCGCACGCTTCATCATTCAGCTTACGGTGACGTGTTTCCAAGGTTCATTCATCAACTCACAGTTCAAATCAAACATAAATGTGACCACACATGAGGAGAAGGAGGACCATGGAGCGGCCCCACCTGAAATCCTCGCCTTTCACCTGAGCTGCAGATCCACGGTTTATGTTTAACTTGACTGAAGGCCTGTAGGAGGCGCCGTGGCTTAGCTGGATAAAGCGTCCCAGCAGCGTCCCCTCTGACGTGGTCGTGTTCTTCCAACTCCAGCCTCTGCATGTCCTCCTTCACACATTCATGAACCTCCTGTGAGGCCGTCCAGGTGTTTAAACTGTCCCACCTGGATGTGAGCATGCTGCTGCACAGCTGCTGCACAGCTGCTGCACAGCTGCTGCACAGCTGCTGCACAGCTGCTGCACAGCTGCTGCACAGCTTCATGAGCTCTGTTCATTAAGAATGAAAGGCAGTTTGTGTGTTTTGTGTGAGGCGTCATAAGGGGACGCACACTCGGAGGCTCACTTCCTAGAATCACTGCTCAGGTGTGAGCTTGACTCTTATTATTACGTATTGATGAGGCTTTTCCTGATGATGTCGACAGGTGTTTGATCCCCTCACTGTTTCCCCCTCTCCCTCCCTCTGTCTCGTCTTCCTTTTCCTGCTCAGTGTTAGTCCACATGTTTGCTCCTGGACTCTAACATCCACCCTACTGAGAGTGCGCACTCAGTGTCCTACATTCATCTCAGCTTCCATCAGTTTAACTGTTGATTAAATGGATGCACACACACACACACACACACACACACACACACACACACACACACACACACACACACACAGTTGATTGAAATCATTCTTCCATGGGTCGATGCTGCTCAGTGTGTCAAACCACGAAAACATAAAAACTAAAACATCTCGCTCTGATTTTTTCTACAAAGCAGCTTTTAGTGACACAAACACACACACACACACACACACACACACACACACACACACACACACACACACACACACACACACACACACACACTGAAAGCCTGTTGCACAATAACATGATTAATGACCAAGTCTAACTCACGACACGTAAACACTGAAGAGTCCACGTTGCTGGCCTGACAGCGCTGCATGTGCTGCTGCTGTTTCTGGGGAAGAAACTAAAAAGTGCAACGCCAACAGAGTGCGCTCGGAGCTGCAAAGGAAGACGAGACAGGGGGAGGCAAGAGGGGGAAACGGTGGGAACTGGGAAGAAAGGCCAGCAGATCAAACACCCGTCGACATCATCTGACCTCTACAGCAGCCTCACAGCATACAGCACAGGCTACCTGACCTGGTGAGCTGAGCCAGCAGCCCATCATTAGAAGTCTTCTTATTCAATGCAAAGCTGCTCTTCAAAGGTGCAAACACCACCAGCTGCTCCATCACCCTGGACGGGTGGAGCTGCTTCAGCTGCAGTGCTGCGGCTGGTTAAACAGCAGAGGCTGTGTTTGAATCTCAGCAGGGCCTGCTTCAGGAGAAACTCCACAAGGTTAAAGTGCAGTTTTTACACTTGTTTCAGTTTCAGTCAGAAATTAATTAACTACAGCGCTGAAAATCAGAAGGTAAATGTCTTTATGACTGTAAATGTGCTGAGTATGAGCTGATGTAAACCTTTACATCAGCTCATACTCACAGTTCTTATGAAGGAGGAAATTATCTACGGAGACCAAACAGTGTCTGTACACATGGGACTGACTCACCGCTGCCTCTGCTGGACAGTAGTGGAACTGTACATTTCACAGTAATGTACGTTACTGTGAGCTGATGCTGTCTGAGGTCATTTTCTGTCCTTTTATAGACGTTTCACAGCCGTATGTCGCACATTGCATCCCTTTGAAGTCGTTCTGTTCCTTTGTAATAGTTCATTATATCTTTGTGCTCATCTATCTGCACTTCAGGGTGGTTTTGCATCCTTGTGCAGGAATTTCACACTCCTATAGAGTCATGCTGCATCCTTTTTGTCATTTTAAGTCTCTTTGCAGCCCTTTTCTAATCCTTCTGCACCTCTTTGATGTTGTTGTCCATCCCTTTGTACTCATAAAGAAACCTTTTTAGTCATTTTGAGCCCCTCTGTAGGCATTAAGCATCACTTGGTGGATATTTTGCACCTTTTTAAAAAGCTTTCTGCTTGAGTCATTTCTCATTGCTTTGCAGTCATCTTCACTCCCACCACACACTGTGCTTTTCTTTTAGCCATTTAGTGTCCCTGTGGTTTGTGAGATTTGTCATCATTTAGCCCCACTTTGTGTCTTTGTGTTTTTTAATAATCGTGCTGTGATTTGACGCCTTCTCTTTCGGTTCTTGATTGTAACTCAGTGCCAGTCAAAGTGAAAGTAAGGACGAGGTCATGACCCTGAACTCATGTGCTGTCATCTGTCTTGCACTTTTGTGTTCTTTGGGCCAGAAATGTGCTCTAATGTGCCGCTTGGTCTTAAACACCAACATCCTGCACTCATGTTTGTTAGTTTGAGGTGTGAAACTTGTCTTCAGGAGACGTATCGAAGCTCCGGCTGAGAAACATCTGCTCCTTTCCGCAGTTCATCCTGCAGCACGTGCCGTCCTTTCAAGAACCTCCAACAGTCGCTCACGTCTTCGCTGACCTCACTGAGGAAGCAGTCAGCGCTCATTCACAGCCAAACCTCGCGGCTGCTGCCAGCGGTTCCAGCTGTGAACCTCTGCCCTCTTCCTGGTTTTCTAGTGTTTTGCATATTTGTCACACTTACATGTTCAGATCATTAAACTAAATTTAATATTGGACAAAACTCCCTTTTAACAGGTTTTGATGCAACCATTTACAAAATCTGTGGCTGCGTGGAAGCAGGAAGTTGGAAGTGCAGGACTCTGGAGACGGATTATTGTTGGACAACACAAACTCAGAAGGCGATGCAAAACAAAGGCACAGCCAGAAGTTTGAAGCAGGACGCAAAAGACACAGAGAACACGGCGTGAGGAGGATACGGCAACAACACGACAACGACCAAAGGAAAAGTTCAATACCTGTGTGAGGTGAACGAACCAAACCGAGGCGGACGAACAAGTGAATAAACGTGGAGACGAGACAGGTAACAGACAGAGGTGGGACAGGCACAGGCAGGGATCACACAAGAAAACTCAATAATGCAAAAGCCCGAAGATACCTGAAATATAAACAGACTGCAGAGAAAACTGTCGTAGGAAACCAGGGACCAGGTTCATGTTCAGCAGTGAGGCAGGAAACATAAAGGGAAACAATATCAGCAACAGCTGAGACCACCACTCAGAACAAAACTTTAAATGTTAGACACAAATAGAAAAAACAGGAAACACTGGGATTTAAAGCCAGCCATCAGGGTCAAAGGTTACAGTTTATTTACAAAAGGGTGAACCACAGTGCAGTATATGTGTACAGAGAGAAGGGGTCCGGGGGGAAGAGGTAATCCACACACTCTCCTCTTTAGCCACTCTCGTCCTGATCTCCATTCACGCAGCCACACACAGGAATCACAGGGAAGGGTCCGTCAACAGGTCCGGGAAACTCTATGCACAGAACACAGGTTAGTCTAACAGGCGAAGACAGCTGAGAGCACGAACACGGGAGGGTCAGCGTTCCAGAGATGATAACCAGCTCCGCCCAGGGAGAGAGGAGAAAGGAGGAGAGAGAAACATAAAGAAAACCTTTAGCCATCACGAGCCAGCCGGAGAGGACGGGGACCATGACAGTGTTTTAGTTGTTTCACAGAGCGCACGGAGCAGGAAGTGACACAGGAAGTGATCAGCTGATTTCTCACTAACACTCCTCCTGACTCTGTTTGCACGTGCTCCAAATTTTAGAAACAGCTGACTGAGAACAACCGTTTATTCTGCCACGCGTTGGATGTCTTGTGAAAACTTGCTAACACTTTATAACACAACTGCGGGACCAACATCACCCTGCGCGCCACCTTTTCCATCTGCTGCCCTCAGGGAGAAGGTACAGGTCTATACAGGCCAGAACATCCAGACTGGCCAACAGCCTGTATCCACAGGCTGTGAGGCTCCTGAACTCTCTGCCCCCCTCTCACGGACAATAACCATATCCAACTTCTTAATAGCAATGAACTGGTCTGCATTGGTGCATCATATCTTTATTCTCTTCCCCCTCCTGCCCCCCCCCCCCTCTTTCTTAAATAGATAACTATCATATCTGATATCATATCTCACAGTACAATAATATTGAATGGGTTGCATTGTTGTATTTTGTCATGTTTCTCAGGTCTTTGTCTGAATTTCTACGAACATTATTGCTAAGGATTGTCTTATTGCATTGGAGTCACACTGGGTTAAATATGTACACTTGGGTTTTAAGGGGTATTTATTATTTTCTTCTTTTTTTTGGGTTGTATGGAAGCCCCAAACGCAATTTCATTGTTCTTGACAATGACAATAAATAAATAAATACTAAATACTGAGAGCTGTAATTACGTTCAGTTTCATCTACATACAGGAAAAAACAATAATGTGAGGAGAGCTGGAGAAGGTTCGTGTCCTGCAGGGTTAAATAAGACACGCCGTCTTATTTAACCCTGCAGGCGGAGGACACCGGAAACAGGACAGGGGGAAGCTTCACCTCCAATACTGAGCAGGAAGCAGCAACTGATCGTTCCTGCACGACCGAGCCTGAGTCTTTATGCTTCCATTACTATGTGAAAATGGACCAAACCAGCTGTTATCCACAGACACTCCACTTTCATCTTTAGATTGAAAAAAGACACCTGAACCGTTCCTTTGGATGGATTTAAGCGCCGTCCGCTTCCAGAGAACGGAGACAGAGTAATATTCAGACAAAAATACAACAAGAAGGAAGAACAAGCTGCAGCCTGGGCTCAGACACAGGTGAACCTGACGAGGACATCCACAGAAAAGGAGACGCTCAGAAGCAGGAAGTAAAACCATGACCAGACAAATGGAAAAGGAAGTTTGACAGGAAGTGGATAAAACACAAATGAGTAAACAGAAAGACAGAAGAAAATAAGAGTAAAATCTGACGGTGACAGGAAATCTCTCCACTCTGATGAAACCAGCCTGACCTCTGCTGTCCTCTCATTGTGTCTCCAGTCCTCGCTAAGCTGCAGCAGGCCAGCAGATAATCAGCGTAATGACTTTTCATCAGAGCGCTGACCTGAAGACCCACATTTCCCCCCGCGGGGGAGGCATTCCTCCCTCGTTATAAGTACGAGTACCTGCGATCAGCCTCGTCTGCAGATCGTCAGCTGGTTCTGAGCGTCTCCCTGACACGATGTGAACGTCTGTGGAGCTTTCTGTGTTGGCAGCTGCCTGGAGAAACGTGGAAGTGCGTGGACGCTGAAGCAGAAGATCTCCTCTCGGCTCTGGGCGTTCGAAGCTTAGAGCTCAGCTCGTCCAGCTTCTTCGTGCTTCCAGGTACAGAGAGGTCAGTCTCAGGTGTTCTGCATGTTCACAGCGCACATGGACATTTTTCTGCTTGTTTGGCACTTGTGTGCTGGCTTTGTGCATCTTTGTTTGACACTGTCAGAAACAAAAGCAGAGAAAACTGAAGTGATTCAATGATCACTGTTAAGTTCGTCCAGCTGACGTTCTCGTCCACCTGATCCTGCTGTGAGGTTAACACTGAACACGGGAACGAGGACAGATTTGTTTCCATGTTGCAAAAGGTCATTTCTGATGTTTCTAATTGTTTTAGCTGTTTTATCTTTGTTTGTATTGAAAGACTGTAGTGATTTACAAACAGGTTATAGAGAAATCAAAGACATTACCTTCCTGTGAGTATCTTGTGTTATCGCACCTACATTATAAAACCATCTATAGAACCATTATCTTACATTTGTTGCCATATATACTGTTCTGATACATTATTGGCCAGCTCAGTCTCAAAGCAGACGTTGTTAATGTCAGTGACACTTTTAGAATAAAGGATTGTAAAAGCCACTTAACCAGAAACTGACCGTAGCTTCTACGTTGTGACAGGATGTTTGTGGCTCAGGATGACTTGATGAGAGATGCATTTGACAAACGTCCATAAAACACTGAATAATTACAGGAAGGATGTTTTTATAGGTTTAACTCACTCAAATGCAACATTTGAATGAACAGTTGAAAACAGCTGGAAACTGAGTTTTAGGTGCTTTGTAAAAATAATTCAAATATAATGAATTGTTCAGGTTTTGCTGACATTTAGCTTCGAAGTGTCTGTGCACGAAAAACGAGTAATGTGAAAGTCTGCAGAGCCTTTAAAGGTGTGATGAGTTTGGAGGAAGATAAAACCTTTAAATGTTTCCAGTAAGCTGTGTTGGAGCTGCTTTGGTGGTCTGTGTGAGGTCAGACGCTCTCAGGTTGACTTTCGCCTCCCACACAGTTTCTTTTCATTCTTCTCTTCACGGTCTGAGGTTAGAGTCCAGCCTCTGATTAACACTAATGTGCTGCTCCAGAGGAAGAAAGCCTTTCACCTCTCAGACCGTTTCTTTGAATATGCATTACATTTCATTTCAAATGTTTTTCTCCACGCGTCCTTATCACCTTGGTTACTGTTGCTATACGACTGCCAAGCTTCCCATCGTCAGACATGCTCACTGTGATGTGTTGGTGTCAGTGTTGAACAACGTGGACATTAAAGCTGACAGCCCAGAGTGTGACGCCGTGTTTCACATACACTGGATATACTGACACCAGTGACACCAGTGACACCAGTAACACAGGAGCGAAGGCTGGGGTTTTACAGACCTACAGACTGCACATTATCTTTGGACCTCTGTGTTTCCCACAGTGACCGAATATAAGTAACGAAGGTCCAGATGTCTTTGTTGGTGTGCAGCAGCATCGTCCTGCATGGCGTCCTGTCCGCGGGCGCAGAACCAGACTGTCTGTTTTCTGTCAGTTGTTAACGCTTCATTTTATTCTGATATAACTGACGAATGGATCAAAAGTCCACCGACATCATCACAAACCTCATTCTGATGAAAACTGAAGATCAGACTTGGAAACTTGTGGCTGAGCAGCGACAGCAGCTGGTCCGTGGTTTGATCCCGGCTCCTCAGGTCTGCACACTGAACCCTAAAAACAGAGCAGCCATGCTGTCCTTAAACAGCTCGAGCTAGCAGAGAGAGGCCACGCCCCTAATATTTAAAATATGAACACAGTAGCTGTGTCCCTTTGGAGGACCCGGCCTTTGCGGTCTACGTGGGCCGGGTTTCTTCGAAGACCGAGAAGGCCGGAAGTGTGAGGTTGTGAAATGTGACGGTCTGGCCTTCAGATCTGCGTCAGCGCTGTCTCGGTGGAGTTTAATAAACTCGGCCGTCTGCTCCGTGCTATCTAAAATATAACAGGACACTGGAGTAAACTCTTGACCGTCTCACACTTCTGTTTAATCAGTTTTCTGTTTGACGTTTATTCAGCTGTGTGAAAATCCCGGAGGAACCCACCCGATGGATTAATAAAGTTTTATTTAATCTAATAATCTAATAATTTTGATCTCAGCCAAACCGATTTACTCCGGAACAAATAAAACACTGAAAAAAGCCAAACAACAACATTTTTAAGTTATCCGAGTGACTTATATATCATGTTTAAGCCGAGTAGCGACAGACAGCGGGGGTCTGAAAACGATGAAGCCGGGAGTCCGCTGCTCTCACGGGCTCTAGTGACCATTGAACCCCCGGCTCAGCTATCGAGCTGGTGGGTAACAGACGTCACCGAAAACGTCGAAGCACTTTTGCAAATATGTGATGTCTTGATAAACCAAGCAGATATTTGAAGTTTACACAGCTACATTCTCGCCTGGAAATATGTTAAAAGTTTATTTTGTGACCTAGAAAGAATAATAAGAGTAATATTAAAACTAAGCAGCGGCCGCCATTGTTGGAAGCTGAAACCGGCTCGGCCGCGCTATGAATTCTGGGACATGGTGGGCCACGAAGGACACACCGACCCATCCTTCAAATCCGGGGAAATGAAGGATGCATTTGAAGGAGTCGACAAATTGGGACAGCCTTCGTCGCCTGGCTGTGACGTAATTGGCCTACAAATGCGTCCTCCGAAGGATGCAGCCGACGTTTTGGCGGCACAGCTAGTGTAAACAGGTGAGTGATGGAATCCAGGTGTTAGGAAGTAGGCGTGATCTCTGAGCCCAGACTCACTGCTGCCTCTGGCGGATGTTAGAGGAACTGCGGCTTTTTTCTCACAGAGAGAATAAAACGAAACCGTATAATGCTGATCACGTGTTGCTGTTTGTGGCTCCTCTCTCTCCCACCTGTCACACCTGCAGTCAGACCTCCATGAACTAACCCCCCCCCCCTCCCCTCTCTCCCCTTGTGCTTGCAGTCCGCGAGCGGAGCAGAGAGCAGTTCAGAGCATGCGCTCGGCGCGGCAGAGCATCATCTCCTGCAGCGACCGTGAGGCGAACTGTACGGCCGCGCGCCACCCGGACACCCTGAAGCTGTCAGGATCCTCCGCGTGGAGCTCCAACGACTCGGCCGTTGACGCGCTCCAGCTCAAGGAGCTCCAACTGCCGGCTGCGGCCGCTACGACCGTAAGTCTCCCTCTAAATCCTCTGATTTCTTTGATTCCTCTGATCGCAGGATCCAAACACACCTGAGCAGCTTCCACCTGCCAGAGCGCGTTTTGATCCACTCGGCGGTTCTTCGGTGGTTTTACGCACGGCGCTTGCGGCGCGGGAGAGCGGAGAGCTTTGTTTAAACACAAAGAAAATTCTGTGAAGTGTGACAAACCGAGCAGTGAGTCAGACAGAGTCGGTACCGGTACCTGCGGTTTAAATCTAGTGCTGAAAACTCAAATCTCACATTCATAGTTTGAGGTTCGCTTCGTCGGTGTCCTCGGGGCTTTAAAGTGCAGCTGATCGTTAATCTGACAACTAACTGATCAGCCTCATATCATGAGCTCATTAAAGTATTAATTAAATTATTGATCGGGAAAAGTGACGTTAATTCAGAGTGACAGCAGCAGAAATCAGAGAGCGGCGGTCTGAGTGCATCCAGGTTTACTGCAGGCTCTGTGTGTCTGTATGAACCCAACAGCGCTTAGCAAAGCACATCTGTACAGCTGTGAGCCCAGCATGCTTTCTAGTTAAACTGAAGTTAAACACATGCTGACACACACACACACACTGAGGCTGCGGAACACGGTGGCTCAGGTGATTGGTGGCGTGCTGAGAACAGCGTGTGAGGCTGCTGTGTGTCCACACACTGATTTCAGGCTGATGTGAGGTGTGGCGCTCTCAGAGCTGCTGTTGTCAGTGGCGGAGTCAGCGTTCTTCTTTCTGATGTTCTGCTGGCAGGTTGGTGTTTACTGCAGGTTGTGGTTCACATGCTGTCTTCCCTCGCAGCGGTTCAGTTGCTTCAGACCAGCTGGGTGACGGGAGGTGGAGGCGGTTTTTCTCTGCTTCAGTGCATAGTCAGTGTCATGGGACCTAATCATAGTGGTGGGTTTCCAGCAGCTGACTCTGGCCTTCTCTCGTCCTTTTCCTTCCCCCCTCTGCTCCAGGTTTTCTTCCTGGCTGGACATGAATCACCTGAACCTGAGAGCTCTCCACAGCAGATCACCTGCCTCCACCTCCTCCTATCCCAGCATGCTCCTCTGTCACCTCTCCTTCACTGTACCCATGAACCACCTCTGAGCTCTTCCTCTTCTCCTCCTGCCTGCAGCTCCATCTTCACCCTCCACCCTCCCTCCTTTGCACATGCTCAGACCTTCTCAGCCTTTGTGACTCTGATTTGTCAGTCTGATGGACTCATCTCCATCTTGCTCACTGAACATCTGAACACCTCAGCTCCAAAGCCAAAGAAAAAAGCCAAGAAAAAATGGTCAAGTCCTTCATGAGCCAGCAGATCTCCACACGAACCTTTCAGGGCTGGAAAGATGTAAGAAAAAGGTCTGCTGATAGGCGGTCGTTTCCACATGTATACAGCGAGCTGCAGTTACTGCAGAGAATGAGAGGCGTGGATGACACATGCAGTTATTTTATGAGGTTTTTGCTTTGATCTTTTCTAGCTGGCATATCGTTGTCAGGTGATGCTTGAAACTGAGACGCTGATCCAGGATGAAGCTTTGGATAATGCTGCAGGTCAGTCAGGTGATCCAGGAACTGCTCAGACAAAAGCAACAGTCCTAAAAGTGAAAGTGTGATCATAGTGGACTGTGTCACGGTCCACACTACACTACACACTCAGTACAGCACCTCACTGTACCATGCAGGGGTACTTTGGTATTGTGTCCTTTGCAAGAGGTGCTTGGAGTTGTGCTGCTGTGGTTTACAGTCTCCAACCTCTGGTGGCAGGACGCCGACCGTCAGGGGCAGATTCCAACCCGAAGCCTTCAGAGGAGAGTTAACACTCCTGCAGCTGTGAAGCCTTTAGTTAGTTTACCCTTTTTGGCCCTCCATAAAGTTTACATGGTTGCTTTGGGCCAGTATGAGCCGTCGGGGGAGCGCTGGGGGGCGTGCTGGGGCACGCTCGTGTAGATCGAATCTGTGCCTCGCCTGCTAACAGTCTGTGTTCAGTGACTTGGGATGGCGGCATTTAGACGACACTTGTTTTTAAAGTCAGAACATTTTGTCCTTCCTGCTCTGGCTGTCATTGGTTGAGTCTGGGCGTGATGTTCGAGGAAGTCTGTATCACTGCAGGAAACCTCAGTCCAGTAAACGGTTCTGTGAGAGCCCCGCATTTATAAACGACGGCGCTGCAGGAGGTCAGCTGACGCGCGCAGGAGGCTGGGAGCACTTCCCGTGACCAGCAGGCACACAAATGTAGGTTAATGTGACACGTTCACACTGCTCTTGTTTGCAATTTGGCATTTTGATGACATTTACATGTGATCTTTAACGGTTTTATCACACAGCAGCATCTCCCAGAAACAATGTTGTTATAAACACAGACTGTAGATAGAAAATGGCCACACAGTGCTGTAAGTTCAGCGTTTTGTTGCCACGATGTCGTTTTATTATGAGGTAAAAACATCTGGACGAGAGTCAGCCTTGTTTTCAGTCACAGCTGCAGACAGATGCTGGACCCCAGACTTCACCTGAAGGCTCTGATTGGGGGCGGAGCCCTGCAGGCGTTACGGCGGGAGGCACACGCCAGCGCCTCAAGCTGCTCCTCTGTCTTGTGTTTTCATTTGGGACCAGCGTGCAGACACATTGCTGGCTGATAACCTTTGGTGATATTTAAGGGGGCGCTTCGGGCCACGTGTGAGTCAGAGCACGGCTTAGAGCAACCAAGCAAAGGTCAAAGGTCGGTGCTACTGCTGCTGCTGCCGGTGCAGCTGATCAGAAATAAGCAGAGCTGAATCTGTGCCGGCTTGGTCCGAGTCTGCTGAGCTCGGTGATTGGTGCATTTCTAAGCTGATGGTGATTGATGAGTAAACAAGGTTAACGTCAATTTTTTTATTTCTTCGAGGTAAATCCTTTCCGTGGAAATCAATCCACAAAGAGCTGAAAATGCAACATAGTGTGCGTCTAATCTGCCGTTCACCATCACAGGGTTATCTGCTGATCCTCCCGGGGATTAACCTCCTGAGGCGCGAGGTGCTGACCCTCAAAACACGTCAGTGTCCTATTTTCCTCGATTACCCACAAACCAGCCCAAGTTCCACTGAGTGAGTCATCGATTTTAGGAGAGGAGTCTGGAAATGTTTTCGAGGATCATTCTCCTTCCACGCAGCCCCGACTTTCACTTTGTTTTAAACTTCATGTAAATATTTGCTGGTGTCACTGACTCATTAATTATCAATGAAATCAGACTCTTTAATGTCCATGGTTTGAACGTCGTCTCCCACAGAGCATCACATTTCTGAGCTCTGAGAAGCAAACGATTAAAGTGAAAATCAGACATTTGTATAAAATCACGAGTACATTTAAGGATGCGGCTAGTTGAGACGGTTTCCTTTGAAACCACAGAGGTCATGAGATATGCTCAAAGCTCAGTTTTAAAGCTCTTCTCTTCTGGCTGAAAGTCTTACGTCTCACATGCCAGAGGATCTTGGTGTCATAATCAAAATCCAGGTGAGGAAGTGGTTCCTTACCTGTGGAGTATTAAATCCCGTTCTTTTATATTCTTTACGGCCAAAAAAGACACGGCTCAAAGTGGTCTTTTACTTAAAAAATGATCTTTAATTTTACATGTCCCGGAATATGGAGACCTGAACACATGAACACACAAGGTCTCAAGCAAATAAAAGGAAGCCAGGTTATTTATGTACTTCTCGACGTCACACCACACTTTAAGTTTCGATCAAACAGCCTAGTTGGTTTCACTTTCTGGCTGCAGTTACCATGCTTCTGCAAAAGCGGAGGGTCTCAGAGTGGAGCCGCTGCTCCATAACTGAAAGGCACCTATAAAGATACCAGTATACACTGCGTCACCGACCACCGAGCCTCTTTATCCTCCTGACTTCGGCTCTTCTGTCTGATTTTGTAGCTTTGAAGGACCAAATGAACCGGATTAGCATAAGCAGCAGCAGAGCCGAGATCAGAGAGTTGATCTTGGACCTTTGAAGCGATTCTCCAGGCATTAAACACTACCATCCTCCTTCTGGGCTCTGCTCTGAAGCTGAAGGAAAAGGTCTCAGCTCATTTCTTAGATTTCTGAGAGCTCCGCGGCTGGACGGAGAGGATCTGAAGCTGGATGCTTGTGTGCTTTGTGGCTGGTGTAGCAGCACTAACGTGGCTGCAGACGTTAGATGTTGTTTGGCAGGTAGACAAAGCAAATGAAGAGTTTTTGTGGCCCAGAGGGTTCGTTTTGCAAAGCTCCATCAGAAGCTGAAGTCATGTGGAGCTGAAGCCTGCCATCGGATCTGTGCCTCTGTGTGACGTCTGTCTGCACTGTCGTCATATATTTTCATCCTTTGTGTGCACAGTAGACTTATAGTCAAGACCGCCTAAACCAAGACCAAGACAGCACCAAGACAGGCCGAATCAAGACCAAGACAAAGTCGAGACAAGACCGAGACAAGAAAGTCTTTAAACTGCAGGTTTACGGGTGTCGAGCATATTTATGTGTATTTGCGATGCACTCGCACAGCCCTCCTCACCGCTGTCTACTGTCTCACTCACTTACTGAGAGGACAGACGTACGCTCTCATGCTCTCTGTTTTTCACATAATGATATTATCCTATATCCTCGCATGTCATTGGCCACAATGTGGAGGGATTGGAGCATAGCTGAGCCACTGTGTGAGAGCCGAGCGGCTCTCGCTCAGTGGGAGTCGACTCTTCTGATTCACTGCAAAGCACTCTGTAAGCACGGCTCTCAGAGCTGATGCTTCTGCGCACGACACATTATCGAACGTTACGTTGTGTGTCATGGATACTGTTGACTCTAAATCTCCCGACCTCTATGTCGATCTGAGACAGTGAGACCGAGACAAGACCAAAGTCCGTCGAGACCGAGACCGGTCTTGAGACATCTCTAGTGCACAGTTTAATTCTTCTACCATCTCCAAGGAAACAGGAGACGTCCGATGAACCGTTATCTTCAGAGTCTATTTGCTGTGAGAAAAAAAAAAGCAACATCTCTA